AATGTTTTTAATTGTGTACCAGTTTAACGTCTGAATATTATTCATGATTTTAAACAATAGTAGGTTTGAGAACTGGACTACTTAAAGAAAAGACAACGACGTTCTGTTTCTTTACTGAGACATTCTTCATTTAAACTATTGTTTGTTTTATATTATTATAAAACAATTATAATAATTGTTTTATACCTAACCTAACCTTGTTCGCTTCGTGGCCGGTCTTATATACAAGACTACACTATATCTAGAAGGATCACGAGATTTCTAGAAAGAGGTGGCGTGATACTAGTCACGTGACCTCGCTGACGCAACAGTATTATGAAATACTATAAAACAAGATAAATAAGTACCTGGAATTATCAGTAGTACAAAATAAAATTAACCAACAAAGCTTAGATATGAAATGTGACCTTGATGTATCCAGTGTTATATTCGGTTCTAAGGTGATATAACTTTTGTTTGATCAAATTTTACAAAACGTTATAAAATAAAATAACCTTTTAACTATCATTTGTGCATTTTTATGAAGCGCTAAAACATTCAATTTTCAAAACAAAAGATATTTCTATGATGGTTGTAGTTATAACGTTGAGAGTCATAAACCAAACATTTAAGCTTAGAATATAGGGTTCCTGATCATTATCATGATTAGCTCTGCAACATTATTTCTAATAATGCTATATTTCTCTTTAGCTCTCAACTGATCCTCTTTGTGCTAAAATTGACATCGAAGATTTGGGTAAGTTTTTCAAGTTACATTGTTTTCTGGGTTATTGTAGTTTCTAGTTCATGATGTGTAATTTTCTAAAAACGTCAGAAGAAATATGTTACTGGATATTTTTAATTTTGGCTGTTTAAACATTGTGAATTATTAACTTAGGAACATTTTTCATTAGTAACAAAAAATAAATATCGTAAGCTGTATTTTTAATGTAATTTATTTGCTAGCTGGAGGAAGTTGCGGATTTTTGATGATGTAATGTGATGCTATGTTCACGTTAGTCCTAGAAACATATATAACAAAGGTAGATTATAAAATGACGTTCTGTGAAGCGTTAGGTTAACTGACATAAGAGTTATCGCGCTACTTTGTACCAGTAAATGGGTTGATTGTTCGTTAATTCTAGTGCTGTAGTTAGACATATATAGTTTCATTTGTAGAATTTGTTGTTGAATTATTATCACCTGAAAAGTACTGTGTTTTAGTTTTAAGACAGTTGATTTGTAATTATAGTCGCATGCATATATATATATATATATATCGGAAAAATAGCTTCTAGAATGTCTGAGATTGGGTGTAATTGAAATCATAGTAAACTGTGTTAACAATACGTAGGAAATAATCTTGCATGATAAAATATCTTCAACTACAGATTAGTAAACTGTGTTAACAATACGTAGGAAATAACCTTGCATGATAAAATATCTTCAACTACAGATTAGTAAACTGTGTTAACAATACGTAGGAAATAATCTT